TCCCTACCACACACTGCTTCCAAGACAAGGCGTCATGGCAATCTACTCGCCCGAAAAATCTCCCAGCCTTCATGGTCGGAAGGTACTTTATCCGGCCAGCTAAATGTAAGGCATGCGTTCAACATGACTCGAGGCCCAACAACGGTCGGTCCTTAATCGACCTGATTTAAAACTAACAAAGACCCCGTGAAACCCCGTCTGCGTTGCCTCCAACTTTTCCGTCCGGGTCTCCAATTATCCATCACACATGGTTAATTCCAGGATATCATTCTTTCCATAGCTAAATTCTTCCAGTAACCACCTATAATGTAGGTGACCGGATATCTCCGATCGCTACCGGTCTAAGCAAGGCTAAGCAGTTATTCGATCCTGACCTAACAGGGTAAAAAGATAATAAGGTAGGCAAGGATAGTAATAAATGCATCAACGGTTTCAATCAACTCCTACAACTTAATGCAACAATATATAACTCGTATATAGAAAGAATTGCTTTTATAATTAGGAGACTTATAATGCTCCGGGGCTTGCCTGGGATCCGCCACAAGTCAGTTCAGTTAGCTTGCACCGTCCTGGTGACATCATAGGTCCTAACACTCGCTTAGTCCTTCCATCTTCGGAATAGATCCATCAAACACCGTCTTCGGGTTTGGCTCCAACATCACGTCCTTCACGTGGTTCATCTAGCGTACCTAGATAAGAGGCAATATGCAAGTGCATAAATATGAAGAATAGTACCATGAGACACATGACAAAATAGCAAGCAAGACAAGCATAGTTTACACTAACACACTTAAGTACTTTGCGATGCTTAACTTAAACATCACACAATCTATCATGCTAAGAAGACGACAAGACCAATCATGACACAAGTTTCCCAAGATCTCAAGTGCTCTAACTCAGTCATCATTCAAGGCATACGTCACACTTAACAATATACAAGCAAGCACTATAATTGGAATCTGCCAATTTCTGGACATGCAAACAACAGCTACAAGATTTAGCTATAACTGGAGTTACACAAATCCAAATGACTTGCAAGAAGACATTATGGAAAGCTTATGAAATTCTCTACAATTCATCTTTAATCATCTTAGCATGATTCTCAAGTTAACTAAGTCAAATATATCCATTTACAGAAACTGGTCTACAATTGACAGAAAGCAGCCATTCCTGAAACCCAACTTTAAACAGCTATAACTCTTAAACTACTTGGCCAAATGACACCAAATTTTAATAGAAGCTATATACATGAATTATCTACAACTTTTGTATAAACAAGTTTCACAACAAAGCACATTATCATGAAGAACTTTGCTAAGTTCCCAGATCTGTCCATAAACCACATCGGCAAGAAAATAATTATTAACTTATGTTGCAAATGCATAATTGGGCAAAACCAACTTTACCAACATTTCACACATGACTAAAGAACACCAGAAAACCTAGTGTCCATGACCAAATAAATTCTTTTAATGCATTTCTTAATTTATTTTAGATAACAAGGTGACTTAATGAACATATACCAAAAGTATACAATAAATTCTACAAAAATTACAGTGGCTCACATATCCTCTCAATAGTCTACTGTACAAATTTCACTCCATTTGAATATGTATAGCAACCTCTATGAAAAAGACAAGTTGCTAAAGCAAGAATTCATGTGAGAGCAAGATAAACCAATAACTCACTCATACTTCATCCAATACTCATGAAATTTTTACCACACATCAACTATCACATGAGTAGCATGCCACAAAAATTTCATTTCATTTGGAGCCTTGGATCTACAGTTATGAAAAATAACAAATTCAACTAGCATTACAACCTTACTGCACAAATCTATTTTTACCGCAAAATATTTAAACTAAAACATGCCATATTATAGATCCACTGCATAGACAATTTCACAAGGATTCCAAAAAGTCCTCATTTACTATTTTACGAATTTTCTACTATTTACTATGAATTTCCAAAGTTCCTGCAAAATAATTACAAACCAGTCCTTATGGCACTATTCACCTGAGTCTATGACATTGCAAATAGGCCCTTGATTTTCGCCGAATTGTCGCGCGAGGTCCTTGACGGGGTGGAGAACAGAGGAGAGCCAAAGATGGCCGCCGGCCATGAGGAGGAGGGCCACGCTGGGGCTGGACGTGACCAAACAGACGTGAGAAGAACCGCTTCCAGAGCGAGCATCGGCAATTTGCATGAGTCGAACAAGTGACAGGAGAATGTAAACATCTTGGACTTGGAGATCTCTTAAGGCAATCTACTAGGAAGAAGCGAATGATGGCAAAGCGTGGGAAACCAGCGTCAGCGAATGGGAGAGATGATGAAGCGCACCAATGCGAGATGGCGCGTGATGACCATGGCCTCTCATGCAGTGGCTAGCAATGCAGACAGAGCAAATTGGAGGAATGAGGAGGAGAGGAGCAGGGGTGATGGCAACAAGATGGGGAAAGGAGAGGGAGAGAGTGAGAGGCGGGGTGCCGGTATTTTACATGTGCACGGCAGGTGGTAAGTCATGACACTATCGCCAGTGCATGCTCCAAACCGAATGAGTGGATTAAATACTACCTCAAACATACCACTCAAGCCCGATGTTCAAATTTCTCCATATCTCCAAACCACTTAGTTTTGGCACAATCCGTAGTAATCAAAATTGTAGAGCTACGCGACATCTACAACTTTTCTTAAAGTGTCAAAGTCTAATTCAGCCTGGTTGGAGAGATACACGGCCACGGCGGGGTACATGAAAACCGAAAACTCCGCTTTCACCCATTAGGACTTAGCCAAATTTTGAGCTCCGTAAACAAAGAATACATTCACTTTTGGAGGCCATGATAGACTAATTTAGAGACTAAAATAGCTCTTGACCCCTGAACAAAGTTTGTTCCACTCCACTCAAACTTCAATTTTTATTTAGGTTCCACTCGCCATGCAAATACTCTAAGCTACAGCTGTCAAAGTAGCATCACGGAAAGCTTAAATTAGAGTTTTAGACCGCTTTGAGGCATTTTCTTGACTTCGCTCAACATGAACCTTTCATGACTTTTGTTGTAGAGTTCATCTAGAGTCATTTGGGCATGGTTGCAAGATTTGGTTGACGATCGAGAATTCCATTCACTTTATAAAATAATTCAAGCAAGGACATAACTCGTCATTTCATGTGACTTCTTGATTCCAAACTTCACGAAACTTTTCCATGGATTAATATAGATGGGTATTGATGTGAGACACATGAAGATATCCCAATCACACCACCCAAGCATATATCTTGAAAAGGGGTCTATAGGCGAGCAAAGGTGCAATATCCAAGTTTAGGTTGGGGCTCGTTTCTATAGGTTTGACCTTGACATCTTCATCATCACTTAATATACCATGTTTTAGCTCAAACCCATTGCTTAATTGGTGGCAAACACCTGGGGTGTTACATTCCATAAGCTTGGAAATTCGTTTATTATGTAGTATGATAAGTGGCCATTTCCCATGATATCTACAACTGCTCTATATTAAGCATGAGCAGTTGAACAATAAACGACGTTTTCCTATTTTCCTGCGAATTTATTACTTATCTAAAACGGTTGAAATTTTGTAAAGAACGTAATAAAACAAATAAAAATTAAAAAAATGTCAAACCAAGTTTGCTGAACTCTACACAACTAGCACTGCGCTGTAAACACATAACATCACATGTTTTAGTGTAATTTTTTGCTATTAATGTGGATCTAGATTTCTCTAGAGTTTTCTATAAATAATTAATAGAGTTAGTTTCTTTATTCAAATTGCTATGAGATTTTTATGGTAGCTTACTCATAACACGCATAAAATAAAACGATTGAGAGATTATCCTGCTGCAATCAGAGATCCAAAGAAAAACCGTGCCCTGCTGTGTCAACTCGCCGGTGGGCTCTGGCGTGCGGCCAGCCCGACCTCGCTGTGCTGCGAGAGAATTCGTGAGCCACGACTCATTTTACGCACCGCCGGGTTTCTTCCCTTCCTCACCAATCGTCACCCTGGACCGCGCAGAAGCTCCATCGATGAAAGTCGACTTTCTCCTAATAATATTCATGTTTTGACTTCAAATTAAGTAAATCTCAAAATAAAAATGCTTACACTGGATTGGACTTCTACGCAACTACTAGCAGCTCCATAACGCTGGCACCTATTGGCCCGCGCGGCTTTGACCTATTGGCCCGCGCGGCTTGCACAGCAAAGCCGCGCGATGTTTTCTAGTTCACAATGAACTGTCCCTTTTTTTAAGAAGCCAGAAGAACTAATCACGTTCATCTTGTAAGTTGATGTTTTACCCTATTATTCCACTATAATCACTTCTAAAATGGTGTTCTCCTAGTGTATTCTACTATAAACATTACCACCAGCCATAGCACATAGAAATCTTCACTAGAGGCATTTGGTAGAGAATGTTTATACTAAATGTTAAATGCTAAAACACTAGAAAAATCCCAGATCACTAGGAGAAGTTGCAGATTATGATTGTGATAGCTTATTTCCTTCCATAGAAATGAAACAATGAGTATCTACAGTTGTTGTTGCTGTTGATGTCTGTCTTTCTCCTTTTTATCCTTTATTTCTCGTCATCCTTTGTCCATGTAACTTATTGTATTTTTGCTGTCTACTAAATGAAAAGGCAGAGCACTGCCCAATTTATTCAAAAAACGAAACAATGAGAGGAATAGCACAAAATTTAAGTGCTATAGTAGCTTGTTTATGTCGGACGATATTATACAAATTTGGACATTGTAGATTGTACCCTCGACCAAGGTATTTTTTTTTCCATAATCTAATTTGGGTACATACCATCTCTCAGCTTGAATAAGTAATATATATATATATATATATATATATATATTATAAATTGGAGGCCTATCAGGCCATCAGCAACTGTTCCTGACCGTCGACGCGTAATGAAAACGCCGCTTCTGGGTGTCCGCAGCTCCGCCGAAGGGGAAGCTGACGCGTGTTAGCGTTCCTTTTTTTCATCTGACCAGTGGCCCCCCTCTCCCTTCGTCCAATATACGCGGATTCGTCGAGGCCCCGGCCTTCTCCAGTGCGCCCCTCTTCTTCGTTTCTTCCTCTCGGATCAAATCCCCGCCGCCAGTACCGACGACGAGAGCGAGGCGGCGCCGGTGCGAGATGCGGTGCCAGCAGCGCCGCCAGGAAGAAAGAGGAGATGCAGTTGGGGCACGCCTCGCCTGTCTCTTGCCTCTTCTGCTTCTGTCCTGGTGCGCCTGGGCATCTCCCTCAAAACCACATCGTCGTGCTGCAGGATGGGGCCTGCAAACCACGCATTCTTCAACCAAGGTACAGCGCCTTCTCTCTCGCACTGATTTCTCCCGATCTGGTTCTTCTAGGGTTCCTGCCGTGCTGGGGCCATCGCCTCTACAGTCCGTCGTCGTCCTTCGAGCAAAGGTACAAGCGCCCTCTCTTTCTCCTCCATCTGATTTCTTCCGATCTGATTCTTCTTGGGTTCCAATCGTGCCGGATGGCGGATCGTGGTATAGAACCATCGCCACCGGATGGCCCCTGCACAGCAGACGACCAACACAGGCGGGTGAGCTGCGTTGAATATGATTTTGTGTTATTCATTTTGACTGCAGAAGTATTGTTCATTTATATCCTAAGGTTTTATCGTCACAGGAATTCACTTCCAAAAAAGAAATTGGGTTCATTTATATAGCTCCAGCATTTTAAAGAATAAAGAATCAATGTTAATATATATTCTGATGCAATAACTCTTCAGTTCAGACTATAAAAGATCGCCTAATCATCGTTGCCTTGCACAGGTTACGGATGAGATGGGAGATCCTTGAAATATATATATTATGCCCAGCTGACTAAATATGGACTGCAAAAGATCGCCTAATCATCGTTTGCTTTTTACCAGGTTAGGGATGACATGGGTGATAACTGAAATATATTATGTCTAAATTGATGTTCGATTGAAGCAACTTGGACCGAATCAAACCTTCAAAAGGTTTCGTATGCAGATACATCTTTCAATACATTAGATCATGTGCAGTGTATGATTTACGACATCTAATATTGCAGCTTTGGTTTCCTGCTTCATGCTTTTTATTTATGCTACAGTGGGATGTGCTCTGTACCTATTTTGGCAATGAATTGCACTCAAGCATTTGTGCTAACCTTAGCCCTTAGGGCAAAAAAACTTGATGATTAGAGTTAACGGAGATATGTGTTGTCCAACTGAAACCGGTTGCTTTTCTGTTTTACAATCATAGTTATGTTTATTCTTTGCCCTGAGAATGAAAAAACAGCATTAATTTTGTCACTCTTTCGCTTATTGTGCTCTACTTGATTGTAGCCTTTTTATGGTTCATCAAAGCGGTACAGCGAAGGGCAGGCCTGGTGCAGTGGTGAGAGCTGTCTCACAGAGTCACCAGGTCACGGGTTTGAAGCAGCCTCTCCGCAGATTTTGCGGGGGAAGGCTTGCCTCGGTTTTTCCCTTCCCCAGACCCCACTCATGTGGGAGCCTCCGGTACTGGGTCTGCCCCCTTTATCAAAGCGGTACAGCCTTCATCTCTTTTAATCCCCCCTGCAGGGGCATTAATATTTTTTTAGTGCTTCTTTTGTTTTTAATACATTATATGATTTCACAATACCTGCACAGACTATTATTAAGGAAACTCTTTTACCACTGGAAGTGAATTATTATGCCGTCATTGCCTCCACAGGCATATACTAACTGGGATCATTTTTTAACAGAGAAATGAGGAAAAATAGCTCTTATATGAGAAGAATGACCTGCACATAACCAGGTTATTGTGCTCTTTCCTTTTTTAAATTTCTATTTCTTTGCATACACTTGCCCTTTATTTACTAAAACCTGTACTGGGCATTGTTGTCTCGATTGTTTATTTAGTGTAACATTATGCTCTGCTCTTAGATGCTTTGGTATACTCATCTAATCATAGATGGATTTTTTGTGCACATTAGTATATTATGATTTCTCGGTGTTTCTCTATGCTAGGATAATCGGCTTTGTTCTTCCTAGCAGGCGGCAGCGGCCCTAACATGACAGCCGAGATGTAGTCAAGGATGTCGCATCACTACTCTGCCTGGCGGTGGTGGTGTTTTATCTCTTACAATGGATTCAGGTGCTGGTGCTAAGGGTTACAAACCTGTGAGTGGTTCAGCTACATGGTTCCCTTCAATTTCGTTGGTTGCAGTGCTACTGCTATCTCTTGGCGAGCATTGTTCTTCTCTCATCATTTGCATTCTGCTGCTTCGGATAATATAATTGACATTGTGGCCTTACTGTTATTCACTCACCTTATTCATTCCTAAACAAAGGGATATAGGATATATGGCACCCACGAGCTTCACATTTATGTTATATTCATATTCCAAATATTAGAGATGCAAAGAAATTCATTCTCAAAGTTATAGGTATAAAGCTAAGTAAAACATAATGTTCTTGCTTATCAGATGCGTGATTACTGATTAGGTAACTCCGTTTACAGATATTGCTTACAAGTAGGCAGGACAGCTACAAATGTTCTCTATCTTGCATAGCTTGCTCAACCAAGGTACCTTGCCACTCATAATAAATAAATAGATAGATTTTTTATATGAATTAGTTACTTTACATGACAAATGTATTTAGTAGGATCAAGAAAAAGGTTTATATAGAAAAAAGTGTGCCTAGAGTAAAATTGGTGTTCTTATTGAATATGTTGTAACATTAGTACCATACATTAGCCATGTTGCTCATCAGAAGCCTAGGGGAAAACTAACCATTTCAGTGTTTGTGTCAGATGCAGGCTGTTTTAGTTCCTTGATCGTAACTTATTTTATCTTATGTATTCGGTGATTTTAGTAGATTACCGCCAATTGCAGAGTAAATTCAGTGCTTTGGTTTCGCAAATTTGGTCAAAGTAATTTTTGTGTTTGAAGGGCGGGCCTGGTGCAAGCGGTAGAGTCTTACCTCCTGTGACCGGAAGGTCCCGGGTTCGAGTCGCGGTCTCCTCGCATTGCACAGGCGAGGGTAAGGCTTGCCACTGACACCCTTCCTCAGACCCTGCACAGAGCGGGAGCTCTCTGTACTGGGTACGCCCCCTTATAAATTATGAAACACAGTTGCATCCAAGTCATTTTGTTGGCATTTCTAATATATATGAGTTACTTGCACTCTTAACACATATGGGTTATATCTTGCAGGTATATGGTACAAAGGCCTCCATGATTTGGCAAATGTGTTGTGGACTGTCAACAACTACCAATCACTTAGTTTTATTGACTCTTTTATTGTTGTTATAATGGCCATGACATTGTGAGTTGTGATACCCTAAAACTTGTGCCCAGTGTAAATAAAATCTACGAAGGTCCATTATGTTTGCATGTACAAAGTACCTAATAGTATTCTACAATTTCGAGCAATGTACATAATGTGAAGGTGATGTGGACGCAACTTGTGAAACCAAATTAATGCATTATTGGTTATTGCACACGCGCACCATGTCTATCCTTATAGAAATACGATTTGAATTATTGGTTTTTATTTATGCTTATGTTTTAGAGGTTGGGACTCCCGGCTGGTGCAGGGTAAGGAGAGACCTGGACGCTAAATAAAATCAATCGTATCAAACTTAAGGTAAACAATCAACCAGTTTAGCTCTATCTAATTGGAGCAGACTAATGTGTCCTGGACAAAACCGGCGCAGCGGAGCGCGCCTAACAGGCTAGTTTACCTAAGCTGAGTAATTTGTCCTCTCCCATAAGACGACTCCAAAAATGGGAGTCCCTAGTTTTTTTAATGTACTTATTCCTTAATCATTCTTGCCACATGTAATCTTCATTACACAACTTAAACACCCGTTTACATAAAAAGCATTTATTTTCTATGTCAAGTTTCTTAGATTCCTCGTCGGGCTGTCGCGACGTTTCCTTTCCACGTCCGAGGGCATACCTTCGCCTCCCTCGCGCCACCCACTGGTGGTGCTCAACGTGGCTACTCATTCGCTCGTCCCTTTTCCAAACACAGCTGTCAGGCGCCGCGCGCGTTCTTCCCTCATCACCGCCGCTTCATCCTGCGTGGTAGTCACATGTGTTGCTCGCTTCCCTCATTGCTCGAGAGAGACCCATCGCGGCACGCTGGGCCAGGGCCATGGTCACGCGACAGATTGGGCGCCTGGTCTTCTCCTCGGCCGAGCCAAGGGTACCCACGAAAGCGGCGGGCGTTGGTGACGGGCCATGGGCTGCGGCTGCTGTCTCCCACCCGACGGCCGGAATCGACCGCCCAGCCATCTTCCAAGGTATGTTGCATATGATGTTTCAAGTGTTTTAGACATTTCGATGTAGCTAAATTTTATCTTGATGTTGCAAAAGTAGATCGAGGATGTTGCATATGTTGTAACTGTTTTAGAGGCTGTTGCAAGCGTTTGTTCAAAAGTTTTGAAGCGGACATATTTGCAATCTTTTTTACGTGGATGTTGTTTTTCGTAAATATGTTGCAACAAAGAATTCCAAATGTTTCAATTGTTTCACTTGTATGCTGATGGTTGCATATTGCAAGTTGCAAAACGTGTTTCTGCCCAGTTAAGTGCGTTCCAAATGTTTTATCTACTTTTAGTCTTCATTCAAATGTTTTTCACCTGTGTGTTTTATGTCCCATGTGATGTTTCCGTACTGAATGAGCTCTGTGATTCCGTTCGGCGTGGAGTTCCTCCTCCCTCCGCAGTAAGTCTCAAATGCTCATCCTGGCTGCTACGTTGCCAGCCACCAGAGGTTCCGTTCCGTACCACCACCGGGGGTGAATGCACTAGGGCGAAGGCGGGGACGGGACCTGCGTGGCCTCCGTCTGGGCGTCTCGGCGTCGACAAGGTATAAACGAGGAGAGGAGAGGCTGAAGCTAAACATCGGTTAATGCAGCAATCGTGGAGGAACTTCTTCCACGCTTCGTGGATCTCTGTTCTTGTAATTGGTTTCTTATAAGGCCACGGGGAATTCCTTCTTCTTTTTTGTTGTTGCTGATTTGCTGCTTACAAAACGTGGCTGCCCAGTTAGCGTTTCATTTTCATCAGCCGTCTTCCATGTTCCAACCTGTTGGTCCCATGTGATGTTTCGTACTGAATGAGCTCTGTGATTCCGTTCGGCGTGGAGTTCCCTCCTCCCTCCAAACTGTCTGGTGCTACGCCGCCAGCCACCACATGTTCCGTTCCGTACCACCACCGGACACACTAGAAGCTACCACCCTCTCGTGGCCTGGGCCTCGAGTCGACATGAAAGTTTTCTGAGCAAGAATGATACGGGCATCGTGGAGGAATCCACGCTGCGTGGTCGTCTGAGTGTCTGACACGAAACACAGCACTGCTAGCACTAGTCCTGCATGATACTGGGTGTGTTGTCCGTTGCAATGCAACTGCAGAACACTGGAATACTGTTTCTCGTTTCATGGTTCTTGCCTCGCTCGTTGCGTGTGGTTTATCCATCGACCATCCACGCGTGGGGGCTTGCTTGGTTACAAGCCTAGGCTCAGATTACTTGGACT